GATTGTGAGATTTCCCTGATTTAATTCAGGGATGAAATCTACCATTGGTGGGTCAGGACGTCTAGGGGCCATCAGGTGTTTCTAACTTTTCCTAAGTTGCACTGCTTGACTTTCCATCACCTTACAGAGCTTGATTGTGGTTCTCATTTCATTATGGAACAAAGGGTGTGTTATTAAGTGTCATGAGTGTACCCGAGGTAAAAGCCTAGTTAAGACAAAGCACTTTGTATCTTGCACGTGAGTTACGAACTGAGGGAGCCTAGAGTTTACCTGAACCTCTTTCTTCCTACTGAAGATGCACCTTGTATGGCTAAGAAGTTCCTTTGCATTTCTTTGTCTTTCCCACTGGCCCTCAAATAAAGGGCTTCTTAACCCACCTTCCTAGCCGTGAGGGTGTGTACTTCAGCCTCAAGCAATTCCAGTCGTCCCAAAGTCGTTTTCAAGTGTTATTTTCAAAATATTTTGAATAGTTTACCTTTTGAGGAAGCAAATGTTGAAGTGGAGTTATTTTTACTTAACTCTTTTTATAATACCTTCTGGCTTCTGCCTTTTTGCAGTTGGCATGTTAAGTTTTGAAGGTTTTCAGTACACTGGAAACATCTTTTGTATAAGAACAATATACAAAGTCCAGAAATTGTCACTGTATATTTTATCTTGCAAACAAATAGAAGAAATGTATGTCCATTGTAGAAAGACAGTGGAACTAAAAATTGTGTTGAAAAAATGATGTTTTTCAGTAAGCTTGTATGTACTCTAAAGGTTTTACTTTTCTTTTGTTCCTCTTGTAGATGTTTTCTCCCAAATATCTGATTCCAATGGACTGATGATATTTACAAAGTTTGATCAGTTTTTGCGAGAAGTGTTAAAGCTCCCTACAGCAGTATTTGAAGGGCCTTCTTTTGGATACACGGAGCATTCTGTGCGGACGTGTTTCCCACAACAAGTAAGATGACAAAATGGCATTTTTATATTGCATGTTGAACTACAGGAAATCAGTGGATTTCAGAAAGAGGTGCTATTATAGCCTGCATGCGTGTTCTTTTTAGGGTGGTATACTGTGTGTACTAAAAAAGTTTTAAGTGGACCCGAGTAGTTAAAAGGAAGGGCCAACCCTTTAGACAAGACAAGGAATTGGCACAACTTTAGTGCATGATTTAAATTCGCTACTTGCAAAGGAAATTACTTTTTGTGTACTTTGATCAGAGACTTTTTAGGGGGGAAAAAAGGGAGAGGGAAACCAACTGTTATTTTAAAGCAACAATGTTCAAACATTTGGCCCCATGGGCTGGATGAGTGGCATGGGGCTGAACTGCAGACTGGAGTCCCATGTACCAGGATTGGGCCCTGGCAGCACCACCTCCCACCCTTACTCACCAGGATCGGGCCCTGGGAGCCTGGCACTGCCCCCCTCATCCCCGCACACTGGGATTGTGCCCTGGGGCCCGGTGCTACTGCTGCCCATCGCTGCACGCTGGACTCGGCACCCAGTCTAGCACGCCGGGCCTGAGGCTCCCTTCGGGTCTGGAAGTTTGGTAGCATGGGAGTAGTGCCACTGCTCCCCTGCCGTCAAATTTCTGGGCTCATGGGAAGCCCTGCGGGTGAGATGATACAGCTCCGCGGAGCGTGTCTGGCTCATGGGCTGCAGGTTGAGCACCTCTGCTTTAAAACATAAAGGAAGGATATTTTACTTCTCTCTTCAGAATTAACTGATGTGCATTAACTTCAGTGAACTGATTGTCAGTTAACTGAGTTAAGGTCTGGACTTGAGGTTTTTATACCACTTTAATTAGTTTGCTTAAAATGTTATTAAAAAAAAAATCAAAATAATTAAATTGATATAACTAAAGGTGTGCCCACCTTGGTATTTAGGGTTGACTGAAGGTCACTATCGGTTAGCCCAAGCTTGCCTTCCGCATATTTTCATGTCACTTGTACCAGTCTTTAACAACACAGAATATTAAAACAGCAGGCAAACGGCTACTGAATTATTTTTATGGATATGCTGTGCTTCGTCTCAAAATCCCAAACTGCTTTCCCTGTACCAGTGCAGATGGTTACTGTCCCAGCACAGAAGGAAAGGTTTTAATTTCAGTTACTACCTGACCTCTGTAAAGAAAGATGGACGCAGGCTGCTTTCGATGTCAGACAGCTCACTTCCTTCTTTCACCATTTCTTGTTCAGAATAGTTGTTGTGTCTTCAGCTCCTTTGCTAGGCAAAGAAAATTGGATTGCAGCTGTTGGCTTGAAAAACGGGTATTTGCCCAGACATACAGGGAACACAAGATTTCTGAGATTTGCTATCATCTGGAACAGTTATCAGTGTAGAGTGCTACTCTTCAGCCTCTAGACAACAAGATTATTTGTTAAAGTCTTATTGGTGCTTGCTGAATAATTTCCTATATCTAAAGGACTGGATAACCAAGGTGAGGGCTTATCAATGATAAATTTAAGAACAGAAAAGCACACACCATCTTTTCCACACGCTGGCGCTGCAAGGACTCTGAGGCTAGGGTTCACACCTCTGGTAAGTCCTCAGCGTGAACCTTCGGCCTCCTCTCATTTGTCCACATTTCTGTGAAGGATTCCTTCTCTGCCGCCAGTCGCATCAGCTGTGAGGGTGGGAGAACTGGGAGCCCCCCAAAAGACCCTTTGTGTACAGCGTTCTTTCGCGATACATTTTTGCTTAGATTGTACCCCGGACTTGTACCTTAGGTAGTTTCAGGGCTCCATGTAAAACAACCTTTTCCAAATCACAAGCTGTTTTTAGAGATTCAGTTAATATACCAGGTAGCAGGAAGGGCTTTGCCTTTTATTTGAAAAGGGAAAAGCCCTTGAGACAATCTCTTAAACTGTTTCATTTGTTGAGACAATAAGAGAATATGAGACTAAGAATGAGAGCGAAGGGTGGTGCGGTTCCTAAGGATATTCTAAGTAGATTTCTATTTGTGTTGTACTTTGCCATCATTTATCTAAGACACAAATATCTGGCAGTATTTATGGCTCTTTTAACCCAGGCCTGTTCACATACCGTGCGTTGTGTTAAAAATGTTCCTATCATTGATATCCAGGGCAGTAACGTGGAGTTCCTTTCACAACTTTACAAAGCCGTAGGCATTGATGGGGACATCTGCTTCCCTTCCCTCTTAAGGAAGGGCAGTCCTTTGCTCTGCATTAGGATTGGGGTTTCCCAGCGAGTTCCACTTGGACAAGCGCTTGAAGGACCTTTGGTGTTCGCTGTCAGCTACCTGACATTATTTGTGAAGTCTGAAGTAAATGACATTAAATACCTCAGAACTCATGGTAGAGGTGAATACTTTATTAAATACTTCAGCCTTCTTCATCAGCTAGTGTTAGATTGCCATCTGCATTCAGTAAGGGATCTGTACTTCTCTTGGTTTTCCTTTACTTCTCGAGTCGCCTGTCTGAGAGCAGGGAATTTGGCTTTCACTGAAAAACGAGGGAGTGGCTGGGCAGGAGCAGCTTCTTCCCTTTCCCATGTTTTTAAGGCAATCCCTGTTTTGGGCTGTTTTGTTTGTTTGCTCTGCCCCAACCCCCACTTCCCCCACTCGGGAAGCCCAAAGTACTTTTTCCTGTTATACAGTTTTCTTAGCCCTTCTTCCAGCCTGTTGTCTCCATTAGAACGTGTTTTCATTGTTTCTCTTTCATTCTTTCTCCTTTCCTAGCTTGTTTCAGTTCAAGACTATCTACAAAACAGCAGGGCCTCGGACAGATTGTTTTCTCATGAAATGCCACGTTATTTACCTCTCCCCAAATCTTCAGCGTTGTTCTCCACTTCCTGAGATCTTAGCACAATTCTGCCCTGCCCCATTTTCTCTTAACTTTGTCTTCTGTCTCTGGCTTGAAGAGTTCTTTCGATTATCCCTCTGCTTGTCCTCTCTTCTGGTGCTGCTGGACTGTGTTTGGATTACCTCTCTTTAGTTCTAAACAACCATCTTTCTTTGGACTCAAATACCCCCTTAAAACACGCTCTTTACCAAGACTTCCTGCTGTAACTCGCAGGGTGCATCCGGACGAGCGCGCCCATGCAGTATGCGACATTGCAGACCCGTCTGTGGCGCCACAGACAACACGTGCCATGCATGCAGGTGTTTACCACACTTCTGATTTGCAGCGTTCAGGCTTTTGACACTGGGAGATCCTGGTGTTAAAAAAATCCCATGCCTGAAAAAAGTGGGGTGGCACATGTGGCAGCAGCGTGCACCACCTGAAACTGGAGCCTGGCTGGCCAGAGCCATGCTCCAGCTGCCAGCCAGGCTCCACGCGCCAGATTGCCACCACTGCAGCCCCAGGAGGTGAGGTCCTCATCTTGTTTGTGATGTGCTGTCTATTTTAGACTGAAAATCCATTGGGCAAGGCATGTGGTTGTTTGTTCTCTACAATAGTGAACATATACTAATGGTACTCACTAAAAAAATACTGAATGACTCTTCTTTAAAAAAAAAAAAAAAAAAAATTGTTCTCTATCAGCAATAGAGTCATGCTTTTGTCTCTCTTACAGAAAAAGATAATGCTAAACATGTTTTTAGACACATTGATGGCCGATCCACCTCCTCAGTGCCTTGTATGGCTACCTCTCATGCACAGACTTGCTCATGTTGAAAATGGTAAGTTAAATTTTCATTATGTTCAGACTTGTTATTTAGAAAAGATTATATATTTCATAGATTTCATAGATTTCATAGACATTAGGGCTGGAAGGGACCTCGGAAGATCATCGAGTCCAGCCCCCTGCCCAAAGGGCAGGAAGTCAGCTGGGGTCATAGGATCCCAGCAAGATAACCATCCAGTTTCATCTTGAAGGTGTTCAATGAAGGCGCTTGAACCACCTCCGGTGGCAGGCTGTTCCAGACCTTGGGGGCTCGGACAGTAAAGAAGTTCTTCCTTATGTCCAGCCTGAAATGATCTTGAAGTAGTTTGTGACCATTCGACCTCGTCATCCCTTGGGGCGCTCTGGTGAACAAACGTTCCCCCAGATACTGGTGGTCACCCCTGATAAACTTGTAGGTGGCCACCAGATCACCCCTGGGCCTGCGCTTTTCCAGGCTAAAGAGCCCCATGGCTCTCAGCCTGTCATCGTAGGGTCTGCTTCCCTGACCTCTGATCATGCGCGTGGCTCTTCTCTGCACTCTCTCAAGCTTCTCCACATCCTTTTTGAATTGTGGAGCCCAAAACTGGACGCAGTACTCCAGCTGCGGACCGGGACCCAGTACTCCAGCCGCGGCCTCACTAAGGCCGAGTACAAGGGGAGAATGACGTCCCGGGATTTGCTTGAGAAGCATCTATGGATGCAAGCCAGCGTTTTGGTCACTTTACTAGCCGCAGCATCGCACTGCAGGCTCATGTTCATCTTGTGGTCAAGGATGCCCCCCAAGTCTCTTTCTTCCATAGTGCTAGCCAACATAGCCCTGCCGAGCCTATAAGGATGCTGCGGGTTTTTTTTCCCAAGGTGGAGAACCTTGCATTTATCGGCGTTGAACACCATCAGATTCTCGTCCGCCCACTTGCTGAGCCTGTCCAGGTCAGCCTGGATAACCTGCCTGTCTTCTGGTGTGGATGCTTTGCCCCAAAGTTTGGTGTCATCGGCGAACTTGGCCAGTCCGCTTCTGACTCCAGTGTCCACATCATTAATGAAGATGTTGAACAGTATGGGTCCAAGGACAGAGCCTTGGGGGACCCCACTGGTCACAGGACACCACGATGAGTGACTTCCATCGAGTACTACCCTCTGGGTCCGACCCCGGAGCCAATTTCCCAGCCAGTGGATCGTGGAGGACCCAAGGCGACAATTGGCCAGTTTCTCCAAGAGGCGATCATGGGACACCAGATCAAAGGCTTTTTTGAAGTCAAGATATATGACATCAATCTCTTCTCCCTTGTCCAGGTGATAGGTCACCTGGTCGTAGAAGGAAATGAGATTGGTCAAGCAAGACCTACCCGCAACAAACCCGTGCTGGCTATCCCTTAAGATGTTGGCGTCGGCCAGTCCATTAAGGATGGCCTCTTTAATAAACTTTTCTAAGATCTTCCCCGGGATAGAAGTCAGGCTGATGGGCCTATAGTTAGCCGGATCCACTTTCCTCCCTTTCTTGAAGATAGGCACCACATTGGCCTTCTTCCAGTCTTCAGGCACTACACCAGAGCACCAAGAGTTTTCAAAGATCCGTGCTAGAGGCTGGGCTATGATGCTCGCCAGCTCCTTGAGTACCCTGGGGTGAAGATTGTCAGGGCCAGCTGACTTGAAGGTATCCAGCTTCTCAAGATGTTCCTTCAGAAAGTCAGCATTAATGGAGGGCAGGGGATCACCCTCACCCGGACTTCCCGGCCCTGTAGCGGGCATGGGCGTCCCATGGGACTGATGAAAGACTGACGCAAAGTACCTATTTAATAGGTTAAAAGTATCCTCCTATTTTCTACTCTTCAGAAGAATAATAGTCCAAACCATCTCAAACCTCAAAGAAAAAATTGTGGTTGGTTTCAGTGTTGCTGGGAATCTGAGCATGTTCTGCCATGAATCTACTACTGATAGTTACAGCAGTGCTGGTATCCACTCAGAAAATGGTTTCTTTTCCCCCTCCAAACTGTGCAAGCATTTCTGGAAAACTAAAGTGATGCCATCAAATGCATGCACTGAAGTCAATTAAGAGATGTCAGAAAACTTGAAATTAGACTCAGGAGATAAAATGTTGGGCTGCCTCAGCCTCAGGTTTGCTGGTCATTACATTTTCCTCAGCATATTTGCCAAAACTCAGACTTTCCCAGAACTAAGTACAGATTTGGCCAAGGTTGGTTCTCCACCTCTTTATCATTACCTGAAAGAGAAAAAAGCCAAATACACAGAACTATGGGTTTGGTTTTGGAGTAGTGCAAAAAGTGCTTTTATAATTAAACGTTAGTGCATGAAGGTCTTTTTCATTTCTGACCGCAAATCTAAGTTTGAACAAGACCAGCCATGATGCTGTCACAATTTCATCAACCATAATGAGGAGGTATGTTTCCAGGAGATAAACAAGAGTGAAATTACTTTCCTCAAAATTAAATTAGGGTTGCTCTAGTTTATTCATAGAAGAAGGCAGTTATTGGACCACTTCACTAATGGGAAACAATCACGTGCTGCTAGGAGTACGTGTTCGAGAAGGAGAGCATTGCATCGGATACCTTCTGGGAAGTGAGACTAAATCATGCCAGAAGTTTCCTGAATTAAAAAAAAAATGCAAAATTATTATTCATTTAATTTTCTTTAAGGCAACTACCTCTACCTAGAGCTAGCCTTAGCACAGATTTACCAAACAATCTTCTATGTCCAAACTATGGAGTCTGTCCTGCAGAATTAAACCCCTATAAAGAGGATGGTTCTTAGGGTAAACAAGTTTAACTTGTTTTGAAAGTTGGCATTCACCCCAAATTTAACTGACTCATGTTCTATATGGACATTTGTGCCAGAGTAGCGTTCAATAACTTAATCTGAAGGAAATAGTTAATAGGTGTTATAATGGGTCATGTTAGCCACACAGGCACATTTCTATTTCAGAGCAGCATAGGTTTTCTAATAGTATGTTCCATACTCAATGCACTGTACAAGCAGTAACTAATTATTTCTAGATCTCCATGAGGTAGTTAAATATTATTAATAAAAAATGAATGTTTTTTTCTTTTGCCAAGAATTTCAATGAAGACAAGGGGAAAATGTATAAAATTTTGAAAAACCAAAGACTGTAAAATTCAGTTCAAAAGATTTTGATCTTCAGTTTTTTGACCAAAAAAAATCAAGTTGTCAAGGAAAGTAGTCATTTCAAATGTATATTTTGGTTTGTTCTACATCAGACTATTTGAAGGACCATCATAATATAAACAGAAACACAGCATACAGCAACGCTTTTAGAAGAAGCTGTTACTCTCAGTAAAGTACTTGAGCATTTAAGTACAGCTATATGCATTAAATCTACTCATGCATTATAAGCAATAAAATATTGAAAGAATAAACCCACTTGTTAGAATTTTACAGTATGGATTTTTGTTTGTAGGCATTTAATAGGAAACTAACTCCTGTAAAACATGCCAGCTGAAAGGGTTGTTGCTATTTTTCATAAAAGGATTTTTAAAGATCCTCCAAGCAATAACATCATTACATTTAATTCTGCAGTCAGTTGCTCAAATTCTCTAATGCTTTGACTACAAATGGTTGTCTGTTGTAACTACAGTAGGCTTATTTCATCTTACTGCGCTCTCTATTCAATAGAGCCCTGATCTGTACTATTAAGGACAGTGGGAACTTTAGCACTGACTTCAGTGGTTTTTATTTCAGGTCCTGGCTAGCTTCATAGACGTGAGAATGGTTTGAAGGGGATTAATCTCCTTGCTCTATACCAGCAATGCTCAGCCCTAGCCTATCAGCCAAATCTGGCCTGCAGAGCCCATGGGGCTGGATTCAGGCCATTGCTGCACAGCCAGATTGGTGCCAGGCCATTGCCACATGGCACGTAGTATTAGGTCCACCAGCTGGATCTGGCCCGCAGGTGGACCTGGCATCACCTATCTAGACCATGGGGTGAAAAGTTTGGGCACCACTGCTCTATATAATGACTGGATTAACATAGCCACTTCTTTGCAGTGCACTGGCATCACTAAATACAAGGAAATGGCAGGAATGTTTAGCGGGGGTGCAGCGAGCTTTCACCCGCGCGTCTCTCGCCGCTTCCGAGCCTAACTGGGCTTTTTCCCGGTCGGCGGGCCCTTTTAAACTGTGCGCATGCGCAGTGTCCTTTTCCATGGATCTCAGCATTTGTCTTCCTTAGTACCTAGATTGAGACCATTTACAATGAAAACAGTCCCAACAGATTGTTTGGACCTACATTTCAGAGGTGCTTATCACACACAGATCCCAGTGATTTTAGTGAGAGTTGTGGGTATTCATCACTTCTGCAAATCAGAACACATAGCTAGACAGAAAATATAGTGGTACGCTACATCAATACTAGGTAATATTGTTTTCAACTTTAATTTACAGTGCAACTTTAAAAATACATGCATATCTTCTCAAAATGAGCAAGCTCAGTCTCCATCTTTTGAAGGATTTACACTTGCATCATACTTTGCACAAGTACTATCAAGTTATGATATTGGAGGATTTCTGGATGATAATCCAGGCTGTCCTTGCTGAGTGTCTCCTAAATGATCCAGTTATTTTCTGCTTCCCACAGTGACCTGTACGAATGTTGAGCTCCTTCATGTCCATACAAGTTTCTTACCTAGAAATACCAAATTGTGCCTATATAAGGAGGTATTCCTCTGAAAATTTAAAAAGGCCTTATGAACTGAGGAGAGCTTAAAGGATAGTAAGCATGTTTCTTGTAACAGGTCTTTTGATGATGTGCTTTGAATGTCAATCCTCGTGATGTTCTGTGAGGCATGGAACTAGCCCTGCCTTTTTAGCAGTCAACTTTCTTTGGAGGCAGTCATCTTCTACAGGCCAAAGCGGACCCCACGAGAAATCAAAGCTCAGAGTACTTCCTAATGATGATACTATTCTGCTTTTCATCCAGATGTTCAGTTTTCAGATAAATGTTATGATTTGTAGAGGACAGATGAGTGGTCCTGTTGCTGTTTT